TCTTCGGCCATGTTGCTGCCACAATAACAACAATTTGAACGTTCTTTCTTTTTAATAGAAATTAATGTAAATGGTATATATTATATTTTTCTTTCACACATGATTATTTATACCAGAAGGGCTTTATGAGGATTTCTTCGTTGAAATGCATTTCGTATAGACGCCATGCATATATATAAATACATGTCAACCGATTTCAGGAAGGTTGGTAGCAATTCCATAAAATTTAAACCAGTGAGAATCAGAATCTGCTCTAAGAACCAGGGATGTCATACATTGCGTAGGCAACTTGACGGAAAAGAAANAGAAAATTTGTAAATGTATATCTGAATTTCCCGCAATTGTACAAACACTGCAAGCATATTGAAAATAGAACCCAATAACTCTCTAATGATGACGTAATTGTATACGTCAGCAACAGACGACGACGTGCCCTTGTTCCTATAGTGGATGGAGTATACCTGAGATGTAATTGTACATAAAGACTTTTCTACCTCAAGGTAACCTTATCAAGTTATGTCGTAGACTAAAAAATGTTTTATGCAAAGTTTACCTCAGTAAGATCAGCGAGATAGATGGGAGTTCTTGCAGAACGTGACTCCACGAACTGATAGTTCATATGTGTCAGGTACACGCAGTACGTCAGGCGACTAAGTGGTGTAATTACCCTCCAAGAGAGTAGCGTGTTGACAGGTCCTGAAATCGGAAGGTACTTTTTAATTCGCTGGGTGAGTTGAGATCTGTTCTGTACCTCAAATAAACGGGTTAGACTAGCGGCAACAAACTGAAATGTTATTCCACCGTTCATGGGTCAGAATATCTACCTGTACACTGGCTGTTCTGACTTGATATTTTCGTGATTTTCCACGTTGTTTTTTCAATTATTAATTCACTTGTCACCTTACCATTTGATGCTTCGAATCTTCTAATGAAGACACAACAGGCTGCGAAAGACTTGTGATTTGTAAAGAGTGGAAATCAGCGATAGTGTTATTGTTATTTGTAGTTATGTCCTATAAGTACACAGTAAATTCAATTACCAATCCAAAACCCCGTCTATAGTCACGCACATACTACGAGAAAATACACGTATTCCAAAATTACTTATTATTACATTTTCTCCATTGTGTTTTATTCACCCCTCAAAATTCTTAACGTCCTTTCTCTGTAAGCAGCCAAGTGCCTTGGTGAGATACTAACATTTTATATTACCCTTAGGATATGATAATGTGCTGCCTGCTGATGATTGTCTCGCTGCTTCTGGAGGAGGTGATGGAGTATGGCGCAATGGAGGAATAAAATTTTAACGTGGATATCCATTGCTAAGCTACAACTTCGTAATCGCCTTTCCGCATAAGCGCATGACAAAAATAACGGTCATTCAGTACTAGGCAACGGAAACAAGAATGAGACGTGTTTCTATGGGGTCCGTGCCGAGTCTATACAAAGACTGTAGTTAAGAGATTAGAGAGAAAATTGGGTTGCAGAATTGGAACTGGGAGCTGTGAGCGTCAAGAGAATTATTGGAGAATTGTTTCAGGAAACTGGAATAGGTAGTTCCAGAGTTTTAAGGGAATTGCTGAAGAAGAATTAGAAGTCAGCCTTTGAAGACTTGGAGCGTAATTAGAAGGTTCTATGTGTGACAGAGGTCCAGTAATCTTTAGATTGTTATAATTACTTTTTGTTACAACTTGTGAGGTTTTAATAAATCTACTCACAAATCCAAACCCCATCTACAGTCACTAACAAACGTAATAATATTCAGTAAGGAAACCCAAAGGAACTCCGAGAAAAGTACCGCTCCATTGTCATTTTATCCTCCATGAATCACATATGTGGTCTCCCAGGATACATCAAAATAAATTACGATAAAAACACAAAAAACTTTTCATGGTTTTAGAGAAGCAAATGTCCCAATAAAATATGTGGATTATATTTAGGGGGTGTGGAGGCCCCGGAACAATCTCCGCAGTCATTTCTTTTAAGCACGGACCTGCCTGCTGCACTCTGCCGACAAATTATGGTACGTTACCTCCATAACCGGTCACACACATGAAGATCGTCACACCAACACTAAAAGCCCAGACGTTTCGGAAGAGACCATTATAAAAGGCAGATTCCAATATGGTTTTATCAGCATCGGGCTGAACGAATGAATAGATTCCGTCGAGGGATGCCAGCATAGCGACGATGCTCAGAATCCAAGCCGCTGTAATTTGTATCTGCAGTGAAAGTAAAATAACATTTGTCTTGAGAAAGAAGTAGATAACCGTCATCATCATCATGACTCGACCTAGTTCTCTGTTCGTGTTCGAATTCCTGTAATCTAGGATATTATGCCCTGCAGTTTGCTTAATAATTACGAATATTTCAAACGAACCTGCTGCCTCCATCTTCAGGGTAGAGCAGTAAGCGCCGAAGAAAAAAAGGTCAGTGATGAAGGGGAAGGAGGGTAAATACAGTACCTAGGAGCAAAGTGAAAGGAGCGGTGTAAAATTAACTTCATCCCCTGAGGTATCAACTGGTATTCTCTGCTGAGGTGTGACCCAGTGTAGTCTTACGGAAACTTATCAAAGCTGCGAAGGAAAATGTTCCCTCGACCTCTGGGGTCTGAAGAATATTCAGAGTTCAGAGTTCAGAGTTACTTTAGGACTGGCAGTGTACCGCGGATCAGTTCGCCTTTGCGACAAAACTTTTGAAAATTTTCCAATTGAACATTTTCAGTTAGAGTCCTCATGTAACGTCCTCTCTGACATGAGGTTGGGTCTCTAGTTTGCAACTGCTGCCGGTCTCGCCAGCGTAGTCATTCTCAGGTCCGAGTCCAGCGGTACTCATGACAACATGACGTAAGTTCCTCTTATTTATACCCCCCAGAACAGGGTGGCCATTTATACTCTAGACACCAGGTTCGATTTTTTTGGCCTCCTGCTACTCCCAGGGCTAAGATGGAGGTACATAAACCTGCCTCCACACAGAATACTCTTTATAGAATATCCTGTACTCTGAAGATGCTTGGTTCGAGTCTCGGTCTCGTTATCGGATATCCTGTCCGAGACTTTCAGTTTTTTCTTCACTTGTCCAGGCAAATCAGTTCATTGTTCACCATTAAGACTTACGGCCGTCACTATAGGTTCTGAGATACTGACGCCGTCGTGAAGTAACCACTTTACCCTGGAAACAGAGGAAACACACTCCTTCGAAACGTCGGTCTACCAGACGTCACGCTTCACATTCCAAAACATCGCACAAGATATTAAACTTCATAGACTTCTGCCACAAGAACCTTAAAATTATTTCAATTTTATATATTTGGACCTTTTCTTTATGCCACTGTCTACTTTGTTATCCTGTTGGTCGTCGACTCTTACCCCTGGATCTCGAAAGGAGCCCTTTTGATTGTGAACGGAGTTCTGAAGACAAAGGTGTTTAAATGCCCTCTTTTCTTTTTTTAGAAATCTGTTCTCACCCTCAACCCCCCCAGAAAACACACTAAATCTCCATTACAAAGCCAGCTGGTTGATATGTTTAGAGGGAAAACAGTGATTGTCCTGAGAACAGATTCAAGTGATGTATAAAATATGTTATTTGTCGTTCTAGCAAAGCGGTACACATGAAAGCCATTACGTGTTATAGAATGGATGTCAGAGAGTATTGGATTACCAATGACAACTTCAATTCCTTCCTCTTTGCTTCATACACAAGGTACCCGAAGATCACGCCGATGATCCAGGGACCAAATCTTGAATACGCAGCGAAGTACAACTGTGCTTTTTCAAAACCAGCTGCCAACTGACTGTAACACAATATATAATTCAATAAATACAAAGTTACATCATTGGATATAAAATTTATTATGTAATGGTGTACCTCATTAACTGATTTCAACGTAAACATTTCATGTCTGAAGCTTCTCATTCAGGCACTCCCAAGTTCTCTTCAATTATCGCTACTGAAAGTTAGCATAAACATCAGCGTATAAGTTCTATGCTATTAATTATATAAGATATTCCTTATATCTACTGTTCTTCATCAAATTTAGTAGCAGCGAGATTGGTACGTAATAAAGGTAAAACTCTCCCCGTACTTAAGTATTGAGGCACTCTATCATAAAGCCCCATTGTGGAGTTGATGTATAGCTGCAACATTCTTGATCTCGGCACTAGATTGGGGTGAGTGGTCAAATTCATGCCCCGGCCGCCTTACCCCCCCAACTGAGAAGTGCCGCCGGTACCCATTAGTTAGGAGGTTGTGTGGACCCCATATTCGACCTGGATGTTGTGGAGAAGGGGACATAATTGCACTGCCGCGAATCGCACACGGGCCGTCTCTATACGGATTGAACTATCAGGCTTCCATAAGACAATAACAGTATTAACTGAAAATAATAAGAATTTACTTCAAATTCTACAAGGTTACGAATATGTAGACGTATATTTTACAATTTTGAATTGTTTGAATATTTTACAATCGTACTCTCAAAATATGGATCTGTGTTGTTTATAAAACATGGGTTTACGTTTATGATCTAATCTTCTACTTACGGGGTTCATTTATGCCCTTTCTGTTTGAGTTTTAAAGCCTTAAACATTTCTGTGTATTAGGTATTACAGTAGTAGCAGACGGAAGTGAGAGGTAGTAGCAGGTAGTAGCAAGTAGTATCAGGTAGTAGACTCAGCGGGTAATTGTAAATAGTAGTGGTAGCGAAAACAAGAGGACATGGCTTCAGCAGATAATAGTGAAAGCGGCAGGTAAATTATGCTAATAGTAGTATTCACACTTAGCATTAAATACACCTTCATTTGTTTATATTACTAAATAAAGTACAGCGTCCAGAACCGAATTAAAATGATACAAGATGGAGGGCTACCGTGGGTTTTCCACAACGCAGAAATACTAGTATATTCCAAAAAGTTTACTTGGAAATGTTGTTCTATAAAATGACGGAGAGTTTCTATGTAGTTTTAGTTGCGATAATAAAAGAAATTAGTTTATGGTTTCTGATAGCGGCCTCATAATTGAATCCCCCCCCCAAAACTGTAAATCTCTTTCTGGTCCCCATGGAATGTGTGGCATATTCGTATTCAGGTGAAATAGAAATTACACTTACTTTTCTACAATGAAAGTGGCCGAGACCTCTTCGACATATGAAATTATAAAGGGCGAAAGAACTCCGCCTATAGCGAGAGTTCCTAACAAAAGGATGTTCCACTTTCGAGGCCATTTCCACAGTGGGTAGAGCACTATTGGAGACAGCAGGAACAACTGCATGTCCACGGAGAGGTACCAGGACTGAGGCACGCACTGTAAGAAAACAGGTTTTCGTTATTAAAATTACGGTCTTCAGGTTTTACCCTAACGTTGAAGGGAGCAGTTTCCTCCGGAATATTAGTACCATAGTTTCCCACCAGATTACACTTCACCACATCCCACATAAAAGTAAGCTCATTATTAAGGCCGTAACGTGCCGTAGCTCAGGCGGTTAGTCGCTGGCGGTCCGTGGTTCGAAACCACGTGAAGTCATGTAGAATTAGCGGTGGACAAAGTGGAACCGGGGTAGGTTTTCTCCGAGTACTTCGGTTTCCCCCGCCAATTCTCATTCCGCGCCATATAGTCGGTTATATCTCAGAAAATAGAGTGCTTCATAACAGCCTTTGTGATAACCTCAAATTCTACATTAGATGAATGTATACTTTTAATTAGTCACCTCACCAAACAGAATTTAAGGGCGTGGAGGTAACGTTCCATGCATTTTCTTCACCATTAGATGGAGGTGAGCTGCCAGTTTCATGCTTTTGCCGCTTCACCCCCCCGAGGAAAGCGTCCAGTAGCCATTGAATAGGAGTCTGGACGGATCAAAAGGCGCTGTGTGAGGAAATGAAAATCTCTGCCTCTGCTGGGAATCGAACCTCGTTTTCTCGATCATCTCGCCCGTCATCTAACCACTACAATTATTGAGATACCTTTGGAAACCTAAACTGCAGATGCAACCTGTATAAAGATGGCGCTTACCATTTGGTTTATATCAAAATAATTGTTGATGTAGAGGATATTTCTCCACCAGTTGCTCTGACAGTCTTCTGCCATCTGATTGGCTGTTACTGGAAGCAGAGGACCGGAGCCTACATATCTGTACAGCGTGGCAATGAACAGGATGACGATCGCGTAAGGCGGAGTTAATCTGGAAGACAACAATTGATTTATTAAACAAAAAGGCGTAGGAATTGGCTACAGTGACCCAGCTTCAAGTGCTTCAGTGTGCACAGCGAAAATTGCAAGACCTATCTCTCTGTACAGTAAAATGTCAGTGTCGTTGCGTGATACCGCCGTCAGAGTGCAGCGCGTGCTGGTTGCAATATTCATAAATTTATTTTAAAAAATAGGAAAAAAAATACAAAATACGAAGGTTGGTACTTTAATAGTGGTAACTATTTATTTGCAACTGATACAAAATAGATGCATGTTTCGAAGTTTTACTGTCCTTCAATGTAGTCACCAGTATTGTGTACATTGCCTGGGCCATATTTGTACATATATATTTCTTTTTCAAGATAAAATAACTGTTGAAATTTACAGTAAAATTTCCCTCCACCACGGTTCAATTATCCCTTTATACTTCTGATACTCTTCTGTATATCTGCTATCAATCCGCGAATTACTCTTTCTCAACACAAGATTTTTGCGCAAACTGGTTCGGCACTTACAGACAGGACACAAACCAGTTTTCATCATGAAGTAAGACAAATTGCTCCCCATGTGAATTATATGCATTGTATCATTCGCTGGGTGGATTTATTATCACCTGAATTGGAACCAAAACTGCATTCAGTGCTACAAGAGACTGTGGAAGTTGTGAACTCCATAAAAGCTCACCAGTTCAACTCTCGCTTATTCTCAAATTTTGTGACAGACCACAAGTGGCTTCCCTCTAAGTGCAAGTGAGGATGTGACAAGGGATACATCTCTTAAATGATTAATTGGGTTAAATATTAGTACTCGAGAATGTACAGTACCCTTTCCATCGTAGAAACACTTTCTAGATAAGAACTGACATGGTCTTCTGTCATAATTCATTCATTCATCAGTAATCTGACGGACGACAGGTCCACAGTCTCTTCCAAAATATTTCCTCTACTTAATGCGATCCAGAGCTTTCTCCTTCAAATGAGAATATCCTCTTCTGTCCCCAAGGTTATCAGCATCTTCTTACGTCTTCTGGTTCGCATACATGTTGTTTCTGTTTTTGGAAAGAGACTATGCAGGAAAAGTGATAATGTGGTAGTTTTTCCATTTGCTTTCCACATCGCAGTACAACAGCCGTTCAAACCACTCTGGTCACGCCTGTTGCTATACGAACTTGAACCATCTCGAGCATCATTTGCTCTGTGCTTCAAGTCGCTGCAAATGACGCTGCTTCCGTCATCAGTTTTTGGTGTCTCTCTTCGTCTGATGCCTACCCTTTGACCTGGCAAGGTGGCGCCAGGAAAAAAAAATGTCTAAGAACTACTTGTATACAAAGTAAATCTACACCTAAGAAAACTCACCTGATATACCGATGGACGTAGAACATTGGGATGTTGAAACCCGATGTCTTATGCTTCATTTGTTTCAGAAATATGTAACCGAGTAACAATCCACTCAGGACAAAAAATGTGTCCACTGAAAGCGGTGAATTAGTGATATACAGACGGCCAGGATCCGATAAGAACTGCAAGTAATTACAAATCATATTTAATAACTCTCTGAAATTCGTGCAATGAGTTATGATGTTTTCCGTCCCTCCCATTAACACACACATACTATCCTTCAACGAAGAGAAAGCGAAACAATTACTGCAACCCGCCAATGTATACTGTGCAAGCTGAAAACATCCGCAGTATTCGCAGATCTCTCTCTTCATTCTCGGAGGTATACTGAAGGTCCATGTGTTCCTAAATGAACAGCAAAAGATTTATTTCAACCAATCATACCCACCAGTTGCCTCGTCTTGTCTTCGTTGGTTTGTACAAATCACGTGGTCACTTCATAAAACGTATATGTGCTCTCATATATTCTCTGTATTATACAATAATGACTTCTCCCAGTAATTGATCTAACTGGATATCTAGAGTCATAAAACTTGCTCCGTCCAGTCTCAGATAGGATATTTCCTCCACCTATTTACCGAATGACCTTACCTTATAAAAATTTATAAATAAAATAATTTATTCACTACTTTCAAAACAGCCGATTTGAATTTAATGTAAAAATGTAAGGCTATCACTCTAACATGCCGTAGAGGCCTATAGGGTTGTAAGACGTCAAGGCTCCCACATTTTCTAGACAGTCGGCTCACAGATGGTGGTGAGGTTGTTAGCCTAACGCGCCTGCAGCCGTTTACACCCGGGAAGATTCCTGGTACTCATTTCTGTTAGAGGCAGAGTTAATCCCAGGGCCATAATGAGGCTGGATGGATTAGGACAATTGAAAAAATTAATGACCTTATCGGGAATCGAACCATGACATTTCTCCATGTACCACAGTGTCTCGACCAACTACGCTACCGCTACCCTCAATTAATGAATTAGCGAAAATTAAATTCGAATTAGGACCACAAGTAAGAGTTTTTTTTTGTTTGTAATGATGATTTCACATAAATTCCCGAGCTTTGTGAAGAGTCATGCTCCTTTAACAAAATGTTAAGTAAACTATGCTGATGAGATGCATAATTACGTGTACAAATTCATTGTAAAGTAACTAAACCTGCCAATTGTTAGTTAATATGTTCTGCAAAGGTACACGCATCACAATCTGTTTTCTTTTACACCCGGATCAACGAAAGTATGAACACGTGTCATATGAGATCAAGTAAGCCGCCAGTTAAAGAAACTTTAACCAAAATCGATATACCAGAGACGCAGTTAAACACACGTTACTTTATTCCAAGTGAATGTGACATACCGTCAGAGATGTTTAGATAAATTCTACTCTATCCTCAACTGTGTGTAAAATATCTTTGATATTACATAATCAGGTAGTGACGTAAACCGTGATGTCATCATTACAAATATACAAATGGTATATAATGGAAGCCAAAATCACCATACATCACTGTTTTTGGACACAGGGAAATTTTCTTCCGTAAGGTTGTCCACAGATTGTATGACGTACCATCAAAACTGTCTTAGACGCAGTATATCTAGGTTGCATACCTCTGTCCCCAGCAACACGAATAAAAGAATCATGAACGATGGCAGAGAAGCAAAATGATAGGCAGAATTAAATAATATATAAATCTTAATGTAAAGGGAAGGCAGGCAAGTTGGAAGGAAAATCCGTCTACATTACCTCTCTGATCCGAAATTTTGGTTACTTACATCAATAGACGTGCTGAGATTGATATTTGGAGCTTTACTGTCCAATGTGTATCGGTGACCCAGAATGACCCAGCATATCGTAATAAACCTGATACCGTGAACAGCTTGAAGAGTGTCCCCAGAAGATTTCGTACTCAGCAACTTCTTGCCATTGCTATATACAGAGAATGCCAGCAGCAGTTCCTTCTTCTGTCCTGCAATTAAATCAGCCCTGATAATTCTGACCTTTCTGTGTCACTGGTTCACTCTATCAGTATTATGCTGGACATTTCATAAAGCATATTTAATTTACACGAGATTCCGAGAGATGGCTGCAGGCTTCCACTCGTACAGGTCATTTATTGGTGTTATTTGTGATTAATGTTTTTATTCTCGTATGTATGTCCTGAGAAAGCATTGTGATGGTGCAAAGAAACGCACACCGGATTTTGACGAATTTACAAGTTTTCAGATACCCTGAATACGAAATAATTGGTTTCTTGCTTGGATGTCTTCCGTCTGTACTGGCACCTGAAAGGTTGGGCGCATTCTGTTCATTATAAACATCTGTTACATTCCTGTCAACACAACACCATTTCCAAAAGGTGCAGTTCGCTATTTAGGGAGACATGTTTCGGCACATTTGTGCCATCGTATGGTCCGGTTTCTAGTTAAAATTATTCTGTCCTGTACTTAGCGCATGTTTTTCACTTAAACTGAGTAGATCCATTGGTGTGTAATATACACGTATCTAGTATACTGCACAATGTATTATAATTGGTTGCTTTTAGCCTACTTTCCCTTTTTCGAAAATATTAATTGAGGCTAATGCTATCTCCATTCCGTCTGTTTTTCTGTGAATCCCCTCTATTAAAATGGAATGCTTGAACCAATCTGTGTGGAACTTGGTATGTATGTCATGGCATCTGAGCCCATCTCAAGGGCACATGTCATAAATCCCTCCCATTATTCTCTGTGTCTCTATGTGTATTTCTTCTGTTGTTGCTGGTAATTCTCGAGGCAACAAATACACACAACAATAGAACGATTCTTGGACAAGAATGACTGTGGGTCTCTCTGTATGTCCCCCCTTAGGTTGATAGGTGCCAACTCTGTAAAAACGTTTCAGCGGCAACAACATATTGTTATAGGCGTTGTTTCTTATGAGGCCTGTGTCGTATCAAGATAAAGTAGGCGAATGTTTTATGTGAATCTGCATCACTGAACACACTCCGTATGACCACTTCGAGCGTGTTCATACAAGGTTTCGGTAGGGTGAGCAGAAGGGAAGAGACCACTAGGAAGATCTAAAAGTAGATGGGATGAAAATACGAAAATAATTCTTAGAGGTGTAGATTTTAAGGGCGTGGACTGCACTAAACTGGCTCAGTATAGTGGCCAGTGGCAGACAGTTGTGAACACGGTTATGAACCCTCAGATTGTGTTAAAACGCTGGTTATTTCTAAAGCAACTGTTGGCTTCTAAGAAGGAGTAAGCTTCAAGGAGTTAGGTGTTTCATAACATGTCTGCGTATAATTGTTTCTTGTGCCTGAAAATAGATGGCTTAGAACAGATCTTTGAGATAAACCTGCCTAATGTTTCAGTCTTACATACATATAATTCCACAGAACGAATAGTAAAAATAGTAATAAAATTACTTAAGTTTCGTTAATTAAATGATTTAATTACGGAGTAAACTAAAATCTAAACCTAGTTCCTCACCTTTGCCTATGAGGTCATACGCAGTACTTGAGACGATCAGCAGTAAAAAGGCAGCAAGAATACCGCTGCAACAGAAGGTAAACCCGTGTAACTTAAGACAATAAATTCGTATGCGGTCTACAGGCAGTAATAGAACAAAATGTGTTGAACTGTTACTGCTCTGTGTGCAATTCATAACTCATTAATATACCAGGGAGAGACAGTAAATAAGTCACAAATGAAAGTAAAACAGTTATAATGATCGTAATTGGTTTTCTACGTGTATCACAAAGTAGCGGCACTGTCCAGCTTCATGACAGTCTAGGTAACAGACGCTCATGCGCATGTTCAAAAGCTGGTTTCTGTAGTCAAAATGGTGACCCTCTCTAAGTTGAAACGGAGTTGCGGAAGTGACTGAGAAGAGAGTTAAAGGACTTATAGTCTGCGGGCTTCGACGCACTGGTCTTTACCAGGCGGCACAAGTATATCAGTAATGTTGGAAGATATATCGATAAATAAACATCTTTTCCCCAGTTGCGAATACCATATATTTTACTTTCCATATCCATTTGTGTCTTGATTACTGACTCTTCCTCGTATTACAAACCTTCGCCACAAATTATATTTGAGTTAAATATTAACGAAATGAATAGCGGAAACTTACACAGTTATCCAGTCCTCCGTAGCGAGCGATTTTCCCTCATTAGTTTGGCAGTACTCCTCAGCTACTGATGTCATTACAGGGAGATTCCTATCTTGTAGGTATGAAGTGAAGATCTCTTCAAAATCCTTCGCGCTGCATGTTGATGGAATACAGTAGGACAGCGTGAGGCTCAAGTCAGATAAATCAAACGCGACCTGTAAGTTGAGAATTTCTGCGTCAGTGGGGCCGAATCCTTCTTGAGAAGCCAACAGTCGCTCAGCTACTCAAGAATTTCACAACTTTTTTGCATGAATATTCATTACCCGTTTACAAAAGCCTCCCACTGGTCTCCATCCTAAGCCAGATGAATCCAGTTCATACCACCATATCCTATTTAATACCCATTTTAATATTATCTTCTTATCTACATCCAGGTCTGATACTGGTCTCTTTCTTTACTGCTTTACCACCAAAAATCTATATACATACTTTTTCTCTATCAAGCGTTCTATTTAACTTTGCCTCATTCTCGAAGGATCTATGAGTAATCCTTAACTTAATATCTTTCCCCGCATTCTGGTGACAAGACATCAACATAAATATTATTTAATATTACATTTACGTATCCTGTTGCATCGACAGATCACATAATATTTATAGGTTTCCAGCAAAACTTTCGGAACCTTCAGAAAATGTTATTGTCAGGTCTCAGATTAAACATTAAGAATCAAGCCTTACTACGTAACCGAATTCCTAATCGTTGTTCGATTTTGATATAGGTCTACTTCATTAAATCTTGCTAATATATATTAACGAGATTTAATGAAGTTCTTAAATTATAATCAAGTAAAAGGTTATTTATTAATGCTTTATTTAATTTTAATGACAGAAAAATAAAGTTTGCTGACGAATCTACCATGGCCCAAATGCATTTTCAGAAAATATCTCGGAATATCCTTGGAGATAACGAGGTGAATCTCAGTCAAATATCCAGTTTGCGGTTTGAAAGCATCTTGCTTTGCCTCATTCACTTATAGGTAATAAGTGAATCGGTCAAGAGAATTTATAATTATGTTTTCTGCTGTTGGTTATATAGAAACAAAGTAATATATATATTATTTGTCACAGATTCCTGATCATTTTATTGATTTGTAATAATTTCTGTAATAATATCATGAAACAGATAGCATACCTTTCTACAGAATGTCTTATTTTTCATATTTTCAAATAATCATTGAAATATGTGCATCGCGTTAAGGATAATATAATATATATATGCTGGTAGAATAAAATGTAATTCCAACGTAATTATACGTAGATTATTCGTCATCGAAATAGAGCCCAGTGAGTTAAGATTCAGAAACGAAGAATGTGATTGGAGGAATTGTAATTATGCTGTAGAAACAATATAATAATCCTAAAAATCATTGATAAGATAAGGCGCAGTGTTTTAATATATGAATGTAAGATTTGTTCATGCTTTTCTTTCTGATGATTATGACAAATATAGGGTGTTACAAGAGGCAAACAACTGCTTTTGGTAACGTATGAAAAAGATCTTGTTTAATGTTTAATTTTATTCTAACAGGTCACTCACAGTTCTGTCGTTGCCTCTCACATTAGGAGCTCTTATTCTGAGGCTTTCCACATGTGGCAAGTTTTGCGGGCCGAGTGTCTGGACTGCGTCTTGTTTCTGCCGAAATTCGGCGAGACAATATTGGCCACTGAACACCCCGACGCCAGTGTTCACGTGCTCCACTTCGATGCACTCGTCGAAATTCCCGAGGAACACCGACTGCCCCATCAGCACACTCTCCGGAAACTTCGTCGAGGAGTCAAACACTGCAAGCAGAACAAGAAATCACAATACACACCTTACTTCACGGGAGTCGGCATAGCGACTGGCTATGGATTGGACTGCCAAGGCGTCGGAGTTTGAGTCTCGATATGAGTAAGATGGGTATTCTCTACACGTCGTAGAGACTGGTACTGAAGCCCACCAGGCATTCTATCCAATGGCTACCATTGACTATTTCTCAGGTGATAAGCGGCCGCGGCGTGAAGCTGACCACTCACCTCCAAATCATGCAAAGATCAAAAATACGTGGACTTATACATCCACTTCCACATATGTCTTCATGCCGCTGTAATTAATTAGGAAAGGAGAGGGAATATTTTGACCGAAGAGAGATAAACTGACAGGAAGTTGTAGATAACTGCATAATAAGGAGCTTCATAACTCGTATTCCTCTCCAAGTATAATTAGAATGATAAAGTTAAGGAGGATGAGATGGGCAGGGAATGTAACACGAATGGGAGTGAACAGGAATGCATATATAGGTTGTGGGTGAGAGGACCAGAGGAAAAATACCAATAGGAAGACCAAGACATATGTAAATGGATAATAATAAAATGAATTTCAGAGAGATAGACTAGGGTGGTAAAGACTCCATTGTTCTGGTCCAGGATTGGGAGCAGTGGAGGGTTCTTGTGAACACGGTAATGAATTGTTGGGTTCCATAAAACGTTGAGACGTTTTTGAGTATCTGCACAACTGGCAGCTTCTTAAGAATGGCCTAGCTCCCTGAAGTTATTTCATTTTATGAAATTTGACGCATGTAATTTGATAGACAAATACAGAAGTATTTCAGGAAGCAGGTACCTCCGTCTTCAACGTTAAACCGTGAAGAAGGACGTAGGATATGCCTTCGAAAAGTAACATAACTATCTACCAGACTACACTGCATCACATCTGAGATAACTGCAGCCGCAATACGTCTGCTTGCCTCTAGGAGAACATCAAATTCATATTCTGCTATGAGTTTGAATTTCGTTTGGAATTTTATATTACATTTAGGAATTTACAAAGCACGTTTTTCTTTTCTTATCAGACTTCACGGCATATATATGTGCCAGTATATTCAGATACTAACAATAAATATACTTACTCAGCATGGCGTGTTATTTTTCTTGACAGACTTCACGGCGTATATATGTGCCAGTATATTCAGATACTAACAATAAATATACTTACTCAGCATGGCGTGTTATTTTTCTTGACAGACTTCACGGCGTATATATGTGCCAGTATATTCAGATACTAACAATAAATATACTTACTCAGCATGGCGTGTTATTTTTCTTGACAGACTTCACGGCGTATATATGTGCCAGTATATTCAGATACTAACAATAAATATACTTACTCAGCATGGCGTGTTATTTTTCTTGACAGACTTCACGGCGTATATATGTGCCAGTATATTCAGATACTAACAATAAATATACTTACTCAGCATCGCCCAGTAGCTGGTAGTGATCTGGTCCATATAGACCTGAAAATGTTGTGCGCAGATGGTATTGTTAGTAGTCTCAAACACAGAAGATCTGGTTTCTTGAAAGTTCTTAATATTTAAATAAGGTAAGACATCTTTCCATTTAAGGTCGTGCACTAACTCGGCACTGTTGTAAGTTCCCAAAACAGATATAAAGATCAATACATAAGGTAATAACATTCGCAGCATTGTTGTAGTCCCGGTTGTCTCTGTGACAGTAAAAAGCACATCTGAAAAAACTTCACGATTTGAATGATATTTTGTCTCATTTTTAGCAAGATCTTATCGGAATATTGTTCAGCATCGAGCTAAATGCTCGTCACATTTTTAATTAAGGTTTGAAGATAAAAAGATAAGTAGTTTGTAACAATGTTCGCTTCTTAAGCTCATTGCAGTTTATATGTTTAATGTTATCTTATCAGTTTCTGCAGATGTATCAGAAAACCTCTGCATAAGGAATTCACTTATTTGTTCATCCACTATTCATTGGCTCCTTAGCTCTTTGTTGGGCCCGAGCCTCTTTTTTGGATCTCTGATTTTTCTTACACAGACGGTAGGACTCCATGGACAAGTGATCAGCACATCGCAAGGGCGATACCTACACACAGGACAACACAAACACCCAATAAACATACATATAGACATTCATGCCTTGATTGGGATTCGAAACCATGATTCCAGCGTTCCTGCTAGTGACAGCAATTTATCTTTTAGACCGCGCCGTCACTGTGATCGGCCTTTGCATGATGTATCGCTCATATAATCCCTAAGTAAACTGGATATGATGTTATCAAAATAGTTGTATTAAAAAGTGAGTATTCAAGTGTCTCCACGAAAGGCACGTGCTCAAGTTGCAGATGACCTCCAGACATGGAAGGTATCTGTGGATTTACTGAATAAGCAGTAGAGGGCAGCTGACAGGGGATGATGGCCGATTTGGGATTGGTCATGGAATTAATGATTAGCCATAAAGGAAAAAATACTTGTTACGAAATGTTGCAAAAGACCTCAGACTGGGGACGTTTTTTGGATAGTTTTCTTACTGTCCCACCCAGTGAGGCTTCTAGCCACACCGGTTGGTCGCTACTCTTTACCTTCCTTCCTTTCTCTTGTCGTTCTCGCCGCTGCCGTCGTTGGTCGTGGAGCTTGCAGCTAGGTCGGCTTTACCTGGCTCCACCGCTTCTCCAACTCCACCACTTCTCTTCACTATGGAAATGGTTATCAGGTCCGGGACTTGGCCTGATTTGTCTATGGGCGCAAGCAACTGTGGGTACAGCTGCGAAGTGAAGGGAAAAGGTGGACGGGGTGGGAGCTGATGGTGATCAGGCTAGTCGTGGTTGGCGTGAGACTCTTGCTCAGGTCGTTTAGGGCCTTACTCCGACGAGGAGAAAACACACTGGACACACAAACACTTGGCACCACTTCCTTTATTGGTTTGTAATCCGGTTGTCACTGAGATACAACTCAGTTTGTTACTTCTCCATGATCTCCACCCGTTGTTCGAACACTATTTTCACTTAACAGACGATGGAGAGGGCTAGCTCCGCGTCCGGCGAGTTTAACTGTTGTTACGAGACTTTTTAAAAGAACTAACTCCCTGTTTTTTTAAGATTCAGAGGTCTTCGAAAATTTGGGGAACGCCTCGTTACCATCCTCCAAATCTCCGGGTTGGCTGGATTTAGACAATAGGGGGGGAAGGGTTCGATAGATTTCTCATTCCTCCGATGGTCAGCTGTTTCGCGGCAAAAGTTGGGGTTCACACGCTTTCACAGTCTTTCTGACCCGTGGTGGATTGAGAGGGTTCAATCTCACGGTCTTTGAAGGGTATGTCCGTGACGAATCGGGTGTTGAAAATTGGTCCCTTTTCTCTACTATTGAAACAATTCGCCGCTCCTTTCTAAAAGCAGGTTTTAACATTTGGCGAGTTATGACCGATTAGAGGGCCATTTCTCTAGACAAAAGGTTCTCTCCAACGTCTTTTGGACAGATTTCTCTTTTATTAGAACATATGGCTCTTTCTAAAAGTACGGAGAGTGTCGGGCTGGTTTGCGTTTCAGTCCGGGGATTGTGACCCGTCATAAACTTTACCATCTCGGAACTGCGAAAGGCTTCAGGTCACTCTGGTTGGAGTGGGGTGTGAGGTATTGCCTCTGCTTTGATGTAGTGAAAAGTACCGACACATGTGAACAAAACATTGTAGTCCTTTGCATTGTACGGTTACAGTTTGCAAGTACCTAAGCAAATGAAAACAAATATGAGATTTGTCATATTCCCAAATACGTGACAAATGAAGGACAGTTTCTAATAGGAACTAGAATATGTATTCGATAAATTCCCTAAATACAATATGAACATTTTGTTATGATATTTCAATGCCAAAGTGGGTAGGTAAGAGATTTTCAAAACAATAACTGGAAATGAGAATTTTCACGAAATTAGTAATTATCATGGACTTAGAGGAAAATTCTAATTGTCAAAAAATACAAGGTTTCAGACTCTCAACATTCATAAATTCACTTGGAAATTCATCTCCATATGGAAAGACACACAAATTTGTTTTATTTATCATTTATTATCAATCTGAATTTGCATTCTATGAGCTAATTTGCTGTCATGTACAATAATTATTCTATTGTACTAAGTTGGCTTGAAGAGCTGTAATCCATCGATTACACCTCAGTTTTCCTGGAGATCGTTTGGCCAAGTTCGTCTTAGTCTTCTATATTGTGTAGGTTGAAGGAGAGCTTCTATTGCGTTGCTGGGGTGAGATTCCAGTTTCTGATAATGTTTTTGGATTCTGTCTGTGATTACGGTTCTTACATATGTGATCTTGAGGTCGGTGTGAAGAGTTTGGTTTGACATGTACCAAGGTGCGTCAACTATGGCTCTAAGTATTTTGGATTGACTTCGCTGGATGATTGCTATGTTGGTCTTGCTGGCGCATCCCCAGAGCTCAATGCCGTATGTCCATATGGGTTTAATTATTGTCTTGTAGATCAGTAGTTTATTATCTATTGTTAGGTGAGATTTCCTTCCTATTAGCCAATTTATTTCCTTGAACTTAATTTCGATTTGTTTTCTCTTCTTCGCTATATGGTGTTTCCAGTTTAGTGTTGAGTCCAGGTGTAGTCCTAAGTATTTTACTACATCCTGTGACACAAAATGATCGACCATACTTTGATATACAGGATACGTTATTCATGTTTACCTAATGTTTACCTTTCAGTGGAGAGGACTGTGGTACCAGTCACAATCCGGTAATTGCCAATGTTAGAGACAAGCTGGCAGAAAACAAACCCAGAAATGCAAAAATGTGATGTGGAGTGATTCAACCTCAACCTCTATACTGAGTATAGAGAGGAAAATTAATGTTGAGTTGCAGGCAGCAGTGCACCTTCTTCACTGCGTCTGTCTAGACATTGGGATGCAATAATACTTAAGTCACATTAGAGTCATAACTTAAAATGTACGTTTTTAAAAGTTAATTAACCAAGCGGTGGTTGTACCATTTCTGTAGGAAGTGAAGAAAATTCAAAAGGGAAAAATGTAAAACGTAAAAGTTGCTAAAATAATTCAGTTATTGAATTTTCATTCACCAACGTAAGAATATGAAAATTTCTCATGTCTTCTAAGATCTGAGGTTCTCACAGCGGGGACTGTGAAGATTGCAATCTTCCGGGATCTGACGCCGTGTAGCCTGCTAAGATATTTACCGATGATTCGAAAGGTAAATATGTACCAGGACACGTGGTATTACATGCCAGAAGTTCATAAAACCTCACATGCCTTGACGTATATTGTCTTACATGGGATGTTATGCCATGAAGTCTAGTTGAAATTTCGAAGGAACACACTGCTTCCGTCTTCATGGTCCTCGTCACGTATCGCATTCCGTTGCGTCTCTTCTGTGTCCCTTCTCTTCCTTCCTATTCCTTAATTGGATGTCCCATCCTATCTTCCCACGTGTCCTTCACAACCACTTCAGTAATGTTGTGAATTCCTTCCTCTAAAGCGACTGACTCTTCCATCAGTTTATTTGTGTATGCCTTGTCACTTCCTTCTTGTTTCTGTGGGGACGCTTCTTCAGTGTTATTTTGTTTAGTCTTCCTGCCTGTAAAAATAAACAGAATAAATATTTCAACCGATGTTTCGTAAAAAAGCTGTAGTAATAATTAGCCCCTGAAGGGAACTAGCCATTTAAGAAATGTATATAATATAAGGACCTTGCGTTGCTAGCCCGAAATTCAAGCGTACACTTACGAACTGTAACAAACTTAATAAGGCAGTAGCTTTGTAAAGAAATGAAGTGACCCATTTCAATATAAATCATCGCCGCTTTCTCGAATTTTAAAATATTTCAGCTTATTTTTAAATTTTAAAACGGTACCTCAAAATCTCTAAGAGAGGCATATGGAACAAGCAAGGGATCTCTGTATTCCTAAGCTGTAGGTAAAGCTATGTATGGGGTTGTGAGACGTCGAGGATAACAGTCGGCTAACAGATGACTGTGAGGTTGTCAGCCTTAAGCGCCGGGGCCCTGGTATTTGTTTCTGTTAGAAGCTGAGGCGGCCTATGGGCCATGGTGCGGTTGGAATGACTAGGCCAATTGAAAACCAATTGCCTCATTACGAAACGAACCCGCGTCCTTCAGACTTGTACAATAGGGCCTCAACCAACTACGCTACCCCGTTTCCCCACTCGATGTTCTATAGGACTCGGAATCCTTCTTACGCTAGAACTAACAATTTCCGAACAATACTCAGAGAACTGGTTTCTGTAGATGTCCAAACCTTTCTGAGGGAAGTCAAATATTTATAGTATCCCCAGGGAGGTCCTCTAGCATCATGCCAAAATTGATCCATATATGCAAAAAAGTGAGGGGCGCGCGATAGCGTAGTTGGCTGAGGCACTGTGCTACAAGGCAGAGGGTCGCGGGTTCGAATCCCGGTGAGGTCATTGGATTTTTCAATTGACTTAATTCTCCCAGCCGAACTATGGCCCTGAAGTCGACTCAGACTAAGAGAAATGAGTACCAGGAATATTCATGGGATTAAAGGGTGGCCGGCGCGTAAAGTTTGCATAATTACCGCCATCTGTGAGCCGATTGTCTAGAGAAAGTGTGGGAGCCTCGACGTCTCACAACCCTAAGGGCCTTAACGACGCTGTTAGTAGTTCACATGCTGAACTCTGTGTCCTGCCGGTCAGGACAATGACGAAGACAATAATAGGACGATTAGACGAAAAAGGGGAGAAGAAGAGGGTGTATAAAGATAAGAAGAAAACATGAGAGAGTAGAAGGAAAAGGAAGAAGGCAATTATGAAAAGCAGAGAATGTTTCTTGCTTACACTTTGGGTCTGAGATAATCATAGCGTCAAACGGTACAATTATAATACGCTATGTATTGAAGCGGCTGTGAAAGGAAGAGGGCGTGGCCTACTTAAAATATGCAATTTACCTCTTCCCAGAAGATTCTTCTCAAGATTTATTGCCGGAGTTTCAAAGCCTAAAGAGAGAATGGCGGCCAGTATCAGCGAAATTATGACGTCAGAGAGGAAAGTTGGCAACTGAAACACAAGAAATGAAGTGGCGTCACAACAAATATTAATAAGGTAAAGCTATCCCTGTAACAGGCCGTGGAAACTCATAGGGTTTTGAGACGTCGAGGCTTCCAGGTTTTCTAGACCAGGGGTCTCGAAACTTTTCGAACCGCGGGCCACATTAGGTAATTCAGCACTTTCAACGGGCCGGATAAAATGAGAAATTAATAACTCTACGTATATGAGTTTTATTGAAAGCACCGAATTTCATAAACTAAATACAAAGTACGTGAGAATAAATTATCGTATATTAATGACAACAGACAGCAGTAACAAATGCTCATATTTTCATCATAAATTATAATAAAACAATTAATGTGAATGATGGAACTCTTTTTACATTCTTAAAATCTGATTAAATTGAGGTTCAAATTTTGAAACGCTAATCACAAGTAGCGACTTTAAATGTTCATCATGTTGATGTACTTCATCTGGGAAAAAGTTTGTTCTCCCAAAAATGGAGATAAATTTATAAACAAATTTCTTAAAATTTGGAAATTGCCCAAGAGTTCAGAAATTTATAAAATTCGATCAAATTTCCTTCCTTGTATTTGTCTTTAATATGATAATTTTCTTGAAGTTCAATAATTTCCATTTGAATTTGGCTTGGGATATCTGCAGCATCACAGTCAAACGGATTTTGAAACAATCTAATTTCCTGAGCACTGGAATCCAAATCAGCAAATCGCTTCCGAAATTTTTCTTTCAAATCTGAAATGACTAAATTTGCAAACGAGGAAGGAAATTCTGCTTCATCCTTTTTATGCAACTCTGCACAGTATAGCATATGAACAAAGTTACAATTTTTCAATTGGCTTTCCAGAAGTATCAACTTTGCTCTGAATGCCTTGATAAGTGCAAATAAATCACAGACTAAGTTATTTTCACCCTGCAACTTTAACTTCAAATGGTTCATATGGTTCACCAGATCAGCAAAACTACTAATTTCCAAAGCCACTCGGTATCTGATAAAAGTGGTTCGTGATGGTTTTTCTCGGTAAGAAATATATCAATTTCATTCCTGGGCTGAAAGACGCGCGAAAGAACCTTTCCACGGCTAAGCCATCGAACTGCAGTATATGTCAGGTCAATAACCTCGGAATCACATTTACTAGTACTCATTAGAAAATTAGTTCAATTGGCGCATTTCTGCACAATTGTTTCGCGGGCCGGATAAAATCACATCGCGGGCCGTAGTTTGGAGACCCTTGTTCTAGACAGTCAGCTCACAGATAGCGGTGAGGTTGTCAGGCTTACGCGCCGGCCGATCGCCCTTAACCACCGGGAATTTTTCTGGTGCCCATTCCTGTTAGTGGTTGAGTCTAATATACACTAAGCCAACAACAAACAGGAAGTAAGCAGCAAATTGAAGGCGTACTTTTGCTTATCTACTGAGCTGATTCCTACATGCTGTTTTTGTTCTTCCTCGTTGCTTGCTTAGCATTTTCTACTCTGAAGATGGAGGCAGTACATTCCTTCGAAACGCCATTGAATTCCTACCGGACTACACGATATCATCCCAGAAAGCAGTGCTCCAGATATTCATCACTATAAGAACCCCACACTAAATTAATATAAATTGTCGATGAAACTGAAAATCAGACCAATTTACTACCGTTAAAATTCACATTGTCATTTGGGTTATGACATCGTGCAGACTGGTAGTTGGTTACCAACATTTTACAGCGATACACCGCCTTCTTCAGGTAAATGTGTTCCTCCAAATCTCAGTTATTCCTACCTGATGACTCTGATCTGACTCCGATGGCGCCTCACGAATCTTAAATCTCTCCTTGTGTCTCATCTTCAGTTTGCATTTTGCTTGTAGATGGAATTTGTTTCGTTCCTGTCTAACCTGAGCTTCCTGAATACTATGGAAAGTCAGTAAATAGGTCACAAATGGAAGCAGATCAGCTGTGATGGACGTAATATATTTTCTAGATGTATCACTAGGTAGCAGCACAGTCCAGCTTCATTACAGTCTAGGTAGCATATATACATGCGCATGTTCAGAGGCTGGTTTCAGTAGTCAAAATGGTAACCGTGCTTGAGGGCATACTACCGAAATATAATGTTCTGTTGTGCGTTTTCTGTGGGCAAAAGAACTCACTTCCAAGGAAAGTCGTAAAGAAATGTTTCCTTCTTACGGTGGGAAGTGTTTTGTCAGTTAAAGCGGTTGCACATTAGTCGTAAATGTTTCGCTAATGACGAAGGGGTCGAAAGTGGGGTGCGGATGTGTCTGGAACAACAGTCAAGAGACATACATGCTGCGGGTTTCGACGCACTTGTAAAGCGATTGTATATTTATATCAGTGTTGGTGGAGAATATGTCGCTAAATAAATGTTTTCTTGCCAGGTTTAAATATCACATGTTTAGGGCTTTATATCCATTTGTGACCTATTTGCTGACTCCCCCAAGTATATACCCTCAGCGTGAGGCTTACAATCTGCTTATAATCGGTGGCCCTGTTACTGCCCAAACAACAAAAATTTAACCTGCTTTGATTAAAAGAAATTCACGTAAATGGTAGATATATTTTTCTTTCAAACATGATTATTTATACCAAAAGGGCTTTATGAGAGTTTCTTCGTTGGAATTCATTGCGTAAAAATTATATGCAGATATATAAATATGTGAACAGATTTCAGGAAGGTTGGTAACAATTCCTTAAAATTTAAATCAGAATCGTCGTATGCTCCGTCTGCTCTAAGAACCAGGTATGTCATACATTACGTAGGCAACTTGACGGAATAAAATTTCCGTAAATATATATCAGAATTTCCCACAATTGCGCAAACAGCGGAAGCATATTGAAAATAGAACCCAATAACTCCCTAATTTTGACGTAATGGTATACGTCACTAACAGACGATGACGTTCCCTTGTTCCCATATTGAATGGAGTATACCTGAGATATAATAAGGGTTACCTTATCAAGTTATGTCATATACTAAAAAATGTTTCGTTTACCTCAGTAAGATCAGCGATGTAAATGGGAGTTCTTGCAGAATATGACTCCACGACCTGATAGCTGGCATGTGTCAGGTAGACACAGTATGTCAGGCGACTAAGTGGTGTAATTACCCTCCAAGAGAGCAGCGTGTTGGCAGCTCCTGTAATCGGAAGGCGTTTTTTAATTAGCTGGGTGAGGTGAACTCCATGACAAGTTAACAGTCACTTAGCTACTGAAGAGGAACCCCCCCTCAAAAAAAAGTGTTCTTTCACCTGTCCATGAAAGCTCGTCGCCCTATTCTAAGCCAAGTAAACCCTGATCACACCCCCACACTATATGTAATTATGGTTAATATTGATATATACCTCCTGTCTATGTATCCGAGAAAATTACTGCTCTATTGCCGTGAATCCCATATGTGGTCTCCCAGGATACACAAAAATAAAATGCGATAAAAACGCAAAAAACTTTTCGTGGTTTCAGAGAAGCAAATATCTCAATAAAATATGTGGAGTATATTTAGGGTGTGTGGAGGCCCCGGGACAATCGCCGCAGTAATTTCGTTTTAAGTACGGACCTGCCTGCTGCTCTCTGCCGACAAATTATGGTACGTTACCTCCATAACCGGTCACACACATGAAGATCGTCATACCAACACCAAAAGCCCAGACGTTTCGGAAGAGACCATTATAAAATGCAGATTCCAATATGGTTTTATCAGCGTCGGGCTGATAGAATGAATAGATTCCGTCTAGGGATGCCAGCATAGCGACGGTGCTCAGAATCCAACCAGCAGTAATTTGTATCTGCAGTGAAAGAAAAACACAATTTGTCTTGAGAAAGAAGTAGATAACCGTCATCATCTTCATGACTCGCCCTAGTTCTCTGTTCGTGTTAGAATTCCTGTCTTCTAGGATATGATGTCCTCCAGTTTGCTTAATATGTAAAAATATTTCAAACTAACGTGCTGCCTCCATCTTCAGGGTATAACAGTAAATATCGAAGGAAAAGACGGTCAGTGATGTAGGGGAAGGAGGGTAAATACTGTACCTAGGAGCAAAGTGAAGGGGGCGGTGTAAAATTAACTTCATCCCGTGAGGTATGAACTGATATTCTCTACTGGGGTGTGACCATGTGTAGGCTTTCTTTTCTCTTCTTTTCTTTTGTCTTGCTCCCACTGTGGAGTATAGGGCTAATTTCTCAGTTTTTGATGATTTTTACAGACGGTAGCCCTTCTTGGACAGATGATCAGCTCGTCGCAAGACCTCTACTCAACAGAATAAATGCATACACACAACAAACATCCATTCCTTGTGTGGGATTCGAACCCACGATCCCGGCTTCCGAGCGAGCGAAGACAGTGCATACCTTACACCGCTCGCCTACCCTGACCGGCTGATGTAGTCTTACACAAACTTATCAAAGATTATAAGGAAAATGTTCCCTCTAACTCTGGGGTCTGTAGAATATCCTCTACTTTGAAGATGCTTGGTTCGATTCTCGATCTCGATACCGGATATCCTGTCTGAGAGATTCAGTAATTTTCTTCACTCGTCCAGGCAAATGAACTCTTTGTTCACCATTAAGCCTTACAGCCGTCCCTATAGGTTCTGAGATACTGACGCCGTCGTGAAATACACCACAGCCAAACAACCACCTCTACCATGGAGACTGAGGAGACAGACTCCTTCGAAACGTCGATTTACCAGACTTCACGCATCACGTCCCAAAACAAAGTAACGTTCTATCAATATAATCCCATTCACTTAACATTGCACCAATTTCTTTGCTCTCACTGTTGCTAGTGGGGTGGGACTAAGTCCCTTGTACTGCGGCCACTTCTGGCCTATTGTACCAGCCCCAGATGATGAGTGGGGGTGATTGTAGAGCAATTGGTGGAATGAAGATTGGCAGGGGAAACTGAAGTGCCCGGAGAAACCCCGCCCCAGCGCAACTTTGTCCACCACAAATCCCCCTTGGCCAGGCCCGGGATCGAACCCGGGCCGCCGCGGTGGGAAGCCAGCGACTAACCGCTTGAGCTATGGCGCGACCCTGCGCTTAATAATACTCTTTGTCCTCTCTTCCGTATAACACTCTTTTTTCCCACTTGTTTTACACTTCTTTCCTGAAGATGGAGGCAGAATATACCTCCGAGAGGTTGGCAGCTCTATAATAAACGGCATGGAATTGTATCGCATAAGATAGTCTTCTGCCTACAAGAGCCTTAAAATTATTTCAATTTTATATGTCTGGAGCTTTTCTTTATGCCACAGTCTACTTTGGTAATCTGTTGGTCGTCGACTCTTACCCCTGGATCTCGAAAGGGGCCCTTTTGTTTATGAACAGAATTCTGAAGGCAAAGGTGTTTAAATGCCCTATTTTTTTTAGAAATCTGCACTTACCCCCCAGAAAACACACTAAATCTCCATTACAAAGTCAGCTTATTGATGTTTAGGGGGGAAAACAGTGATTGTCATGAGAAGAGATTAAAGTGATGTATAAAATACGTTGTCATTCTAGCAAAGCGGTACACATGCATTCCATTACATGTTATAGAATGGATGTCAGAGAGTATTGGATTACCAATGACAACTTCAATTCCTTCCTCTTTGCTTCATACACAAGGTACCCGAAGATCACGCCGATGATCCAGGGTCCAAACCTTGAATACGCAGCGATGTACAGCTTTTGAATACCACCCCCAAGCAGACTGCAACACAATATATAGTTCAATAAATACTTGTACATAGTTATATCATGGGATATAAAATGTATTATGTAATGGTGTACCTCATTAATTGATTTCATGGTATACAGTTCATGTCTGAAGCTTCCCACAGGCATTCCCAAATTCCCTTCAATTATCGCTACTAAAAGTTCACATAAATATCAACGTATCAGTTCTATGCTATTAATTAAATAAGATATTCCTTATATCTACTGTTCTTCATCAAATTTAGTAGCAGCGAGATTGGTACGTAATAAAGGTAAAACTCTCCCCGTACTTAAGTATTGAGGCACTGTATCATAAAGCCCCATTGTGGAGTTGATGTATAGCTGCAACATTCTTGATCTCGGCACTAGATTGGGGTGAGTGGTCAAATTCACGCCCCGGCCGCCTTACCCCCCCAACTGAGAAGTGCCGCCGGTACCCATTAGATAGGAGGCTGTGTGGGCCCCATATTCGACCTGGATATGGAGAAGGGAAAAAATTGCACTGCCGGGAGTCGAACACGGGCTGTCTCTATACCGACTGAACTATCCGACTTCAATTAGATAGTAACAGTATTAACTGAAAATAACAAGAATTTACTTCACTATTCGGTCGGGTCTTGTCAAGTGGGATTTGTGGTGAACAAAGTGGAGCTGGGGCAGGTTTTCTCCGAATACTTCGGTTTGCCCTGCCAATCTTCATTCCACCAATTGGTCCACAATCACCCTCACCTATCATCTAGGGCTGGTACAATAGGCCAGAAATGACCGCAGTACAAGGGACTTAGTCCCACCCCACTAGCAAAAAATAATACTTCACTATTCTAGAAGGCTACGAATATGTAGACCAGGCATGTCAAACTCAACTTGTACAGAGGGCCACCTCAGCCCTATAAATAATAGTCCAGGGCCGCACTTCAAAATAGAAATATACATTAGATTTTGATACAAGGAAATTTAATTCTATTTATTATTTAGGAATAATGTCAATATAATTACCTAAAGTGGAACACTTATATTTTGCCCACAAATCAAACATGTAATTTTACCTTATATTTCACAACAGAAATAAGCGATTTCCTATTTTCCTTGAAAAACACGACGCTCACTTTCAATAGTTCTTTTTTTGCTACTTGAATTTCTTGAAAGCGACATCGCCCGTTAAAAGTTACTGTACATATACAAGAAAACTCGTAGTTGATAATTTAATGTTTAATTATAACCTTTATACGTTCATTACAATGTAACATCAGCACTTGTCGCTGTGTGAAAGTGAACTGAATGACAATGTACAAGAGACTGTAAATCTGGTTCTGGAACCCAGAGAATATGGGGCATATTCTTATTCAGGTGAAATACAAATTACACTTACTTTGCAGTAAATAGGTTGGCCGAGACCTCTTCGACATATGAAATTATAAAGGGCGAAACAACTCCGCCAATAGCGAGAGTTCCTAACAAAAGAATGTTCCACTTTCGAGGCCATTTCCACAGTGGGTAGAGCACTATTGGAGACAGCAGGAACAACTGCATGTCCACGGAGAGGTACCAGGACTGAGGCACGCACTGTAAGAAAACAGGTTTTCGTTATTAAAATTACAGTCTTCAGGATTTACCCTAACGTTGAAGGGAGCAGTTTCCTCCGGAATATTAGTACCATAGGTTCCCACCAGATTATGCGTCGACACATCCCATATAACAGTAAGCTCATTATTAATGCCGTAACGTGCCGTAGCTCAGGAGGTTAGTCGCTGGCTTCCCACGGCGGAGATCCGGGTTCCAAACCGCGTGAAGCCATGTAGAACTTGCGGTGGACAAAGTGGTACTGGGGTAGGTTTTCTCCGAGTACTTCGGTTTCCCCTGCCAATTCTCATTCCACGCCATGTAGTCGGTTATATCCCAGAAAATAGAATGTTTCATAACAGCCTTTTTGAGAACCTCGAATCATACATAAGATAAATGTGTCCCTTTACTTAGTCACCTCACCAAACAGAATTTAAGGGCGTGGAGGTAATGTTCCATGCATTTCCTTCACCATTAGATGGAGGTGAGTAGTCAGTTTCATGCTTCAGCCGCTTCATCCCTCGAGGAAAGCGTCCAGTAGCCGTTGAATAGGAGTCTGGATGGATCAAAAGGTGCTGTATGAAGAAATGAAAAATCTCGGCTTCTGCTGGGAATCGAACCTCGTTTTCTCGATCGTCCTGCTCGTCATCTAACCACTACAATTATTGAGATACCTTTGGAAACCTAAATTGCAGACGCAACCTGTATAAAGATGGCGCTTACCGTACGGTTCATGTCAAAATAATTGTTGATGTATAGGATATTTGTCCACCAGTTGCTCTGACAGCCTTCTGCCATCTGATTGGCAATTACTGGAAGCAGAGGACCGGAGCCTACATATCTGTACAGTGTGGCACTGATCAGGATGACGATCGCGTAAGCCGGAGTTAATCTGGAAGACAAGAGATTTATTAAACAAGAAGGCATAGGAATTGGCTACAGTGACCCAGCTTCAAGTGCTTCAGTGTGCACAGCGAAAAGTGCAAGACCTATCTCTCTGTACAGTAAAATGTCAATGTCGTTGCGTGATACCGCCGTCAGAGTGCAGCACGTGCTGGTTGCAGTATTCATAAATTTATTTTAAAAAAGAGGAATAAATATACAAAATACGAAGGTTGGTACTTTAATAGTGGTAACTATTTATTTACAACTGATACAAAATAGATGCATGTTGCGAAGTGTTACTGTCCTTCAATGTTGTCACCAGCATTGTGTACATTGCCTAGGCCATATTTGTACATATATATTTCTTTTTCAAGATAAAACAACTGTTGAAATTTACAGTAAAACTTCCTTCCAACATGATTCAATTATCCCTTTATACTTCTGATACTCTTCTGTATATCTGCTATCAATCCGCGAATTACTCTTTCTCAACACAAGATTTTTGCGCAAACTGGTTCGGCACTTACAGACAGGACACAAACCAGTTTTCACCATGAAGTAAGACAAATTGCTCCCCATGTGAATTTTATACATTGTATCATTCGCTGGGTGGATTTATTATCACGTGACTTGGAACCAAAAATGCATTCAGTGCTACAAGAGACTGTGGAAGTTTTGAGCTCCATAAAAGCTCACCAGTTCAACACTCGCTTATTCTCAAATTTGTGACAGACCACAAGTGGCTGCCCTCAAAGTGAAAGTGAAGATATGACAAGGGATATGTCTAAGAAAACTCACCTGATATACCGATGGACGTAGAACATTGGGATGTTGAAACCAGATGTCTTATGCTTCATTTGTTTCAGAAATATATAACCGAGCAACAATCCACTCAGGACAAAAAATGTGTCCACTGAAAGGGTTGAATTAGTGATATACAGACGGCCAGGATCCTTTATGAACTGCAAGTAATTATAAACAATGTTACATATTTTATAACGCGATTAAATTCTTGCAGTGTACATATAATACTATCCTTCAACGAAGAGAAGGCGAAACAATTACTGCAACACGCCAGTGTATACTGTGCAAGCTGAAAACATCTGCAGTATTCGCAGATATCTCTCTTTGTTCTCGGAGGTACACTGAAGGTCCATGTGTTCCTAAACGAAGAGTAAAAAGATATATTTCCACCAGTTCTATCCACCAATTGCCTCGTCTTGTCTTCGTAGATTTACAGTGCAAATCACGTGACCACTTCATAAAACGTAAATGTGCTCTTATATATTCTCTGTATTATGTATATATACGAGTATATGTATAATGTGCCGGTCACGGTAGCCGAGCGTTCCAACGCGTGGACTGTCTTCGCTCGCTCGGAAGCCGGGGTCGTGGGTTCGAATCCCTCTCAGGGCATGGATGTTTGTGTGCGTTTTTCTGTGTTTGTATACAGGTAGAGGCCTTGCGACGAGCTGATCACCCGCCCAAGGAGTCCTACCGAATGTGTAAGATCTAGAAAAACCGAAGTGAACGGAGAAGTTCATGGAGGTAGGCCTAGGCCCACTGGGGCTGTAGTGCCAAGGAAAAATATATATGTATTATGTATAATGACTTTTCCCACTAATTGATCTAATTGGATATCTAGGCTTGTAAAACTTGCCCCGTCCAGTCCCAGGTAGGAAACGTTTCTGTCACTTATTTCCCTAATGACCATACCCCATAAAAATTAGCAAATAAAATAATTTCTGCAATTTTATGAAATATAATTTTCAAAAACTAAAGAAAAGATTAACTTCTAAACACATTACTTTGTTCCTTAAGGATGCCTACTGTGGATACGACATGCCGTCAGAGATGTTTAGTTTTACCGCCCTCCTCTTGTCGTCCTTGCTCAGTGAGACTTCAATCCTCTCGAGTTGGTCGTCACTTATACCTGTCCTCCACGTTCCCCCCTTTGTGGTCTGCACTTTCATCCGCCGCTTCCTTGTAGCTGTCTGGTTCAGGGTAGGGTGTGGGATTGCTCTGAATACTTGAATTTTTTTATGGGCGCCAGTGGACTTGGGTGACATCCACGAGTTTTGAACGGGGAAAACAAGGTAGGGATTTGGATAGGCGGACGTTTGGGGTTCCGGCTGCTCAGACGGTAGGACGAGATTCTGTCTCAGAGCTACTTCTGGGCCTTGCTCACACAAGGAGAGAGAAAACACTAAAAAAACTCGCACTTCACCAACACTGTTGCTTTATTGTTAGTGTTCACTAGAGTTACACATTACGAGGCCCTAGCACTTGGACTTTATACACCAATTTAACGTCCGGGAGGTTACTACTGTCTCCGGTTATTCCCTTTGGCTACTCACTCCTGTTACTCACTGTTGATGACTCACCGCTCTTATTCCCTTGTAATGACTTGTAATGACTGCTCTTATTGCCTTGTAATGACTGGCTGCACTGGAGAGGCAGAAGTCCCGACGGTTCCGGGAACGCCTGGATTCCTCTCCTCTGAAATTTTGCTGATTGGCTGAACCTAAAATTTGGGTGTTTCTCTCATTTGCATTCAGCCAATCCCTATCCAGATCCATGTTAATTTGGGCCTAAGTACAACACAGTCCCTCTGACAGCTCTCAAATAAATGGAGGTACGCTAACGATCGCTCGGTACGCCCCTTCGAAAATTATTGCGACTCGTTTCTGTCAAGTCTCAAATTTTCAAAGACTCGAACCGTCGAAGTTAAGCATTGAAATCCCCAGAAAACACAGCGGGATACTTCCTGCTCCGTTCTGGGTTTTCAAGTGACCTGCAGCTTGCTTGTCCCTCAGAAAGACCAGATGTTGTCCTTGGCGTCTGCTGGTGCTGGGGTCAATTCTGTATCATCTATTGTTAACAGTAGTACAGTCCGTTTACATGTAGTACATTGTAATTAAAAATGTAAATCAACAACATTGCTGAGGTTCCTGCATGGTGCGGTTACATTAGATAAATTCTATTCTATCCTCAACCGTGTCTAAAATATCTTTGATGTTACATCATCAGGTAGTGACGTATATCGTTATGTTATCATTAGAAATATACCACATTCTCTTCTCATTGGTGTATAATGGAAGGCAAAATCACCATACATCACTGTTTTTGGACACAGGGAATTTTTCTTCCGTAACGTTGTCTATAGATTGTATGACATACCATCAAAAGTATTTCAGACGCAGTATATCTACATTGCATACCTCTGTCCCCAGCAACAACAATAAAAAAATGAAGAAACGAAATGACAGGTAGAATTGACGAGTATATAAATGTAAAGGGAAGGCAGACAAGTTGGAAGGAAAGCCCATCTACATTTATCTTTCTGATGCGAAATTTTGGCTACTTACATCAACAGCAATGCTGAGATTGATGGATGGAACTGCCATGTCCAATGTGTATCGGTGACCCCAAATGACCCAGCATATCGTAATAAACCTGATACCGTGAACAGCTTGAAGAGTGTCCCCAGAAGATTTCGTACTCAGCAACTTCTTGCCATTGCTATATACAGAGAATGCCAGCAGCAGTTCCTTCTTCTGTCCTACAATTAAATCAGCCCTGATTATTCTAGCACTTCTGTGTCACTGTTTCACTCTATCAGTATTATGCTGGACATTTCCTAAAGCATATTTAATTTACACGAGATTCCGAGAGATGGCTGCAGTCTTATGAAGTAAAGAAACGTACAACAAAGAATTGTTATATGCGTTGTTTCCTATGAGGTCCATGTCATATCAAAGGAAAGTAGGCGATCAGTTCTTGAATATTTTATGTGAATCTGCATCACTGAACACATTCTGTGTGGCCACTTCGCGTGTGTTCATGCAGAGTTTCGGTAGGGAGAGCAGAAGAGAAGAGACCACTACGAAGATCTAAACGTAGATGGGATGATAATATGAAAATAAATCTTAGAGGTGTAGATTGGAAGGGTGTGGACTGCATTAATCTGGCTCAGGATAATGGCCAGTGGCAGGCAGTTGTGAACACGGTTATGAACCCTCAGATTCTGTTAAAATGCTGGTTATTTCTTAAGCAGCTGTTGGCTTCTAAGAAGGACTAAGCTACAAGGAGTTTGTTATTTCGTAACATGTCTCCTTATAATTGTTTCTTGCACTTGAGAATGTATTGCTTCAAACAGATCGTTCAGACAAATCTGGCTTATGTTTCAGTCATACATATGATTCCACATAACGAAGAGTAAACAATAGTAATAAAATTACTTAAGTTTCCTTAATTGAATCAATTAATTGTGGAGTAAACTGAAATCTTAACAAAGTATCCCACCTTTGCCTATGAGGTCATACGCAGTGTTTGAGACGATCAGCAGTAAAAAGGCAGCAAGAATACCGCTGCAACAGAAGGTAAACCCGTGTAACTTAAGAGAATAAACCCGTATGCGGTCTAAAGGCAATAATAGGACAAAATTGATTGAACTGTTAATGCTCTGCGTGCATTTCATAACTCGTTAATGTACGAGGCAGAGTCAGTAAATAAGTAACAAATGGAAGTAAAACAGTTATAATGTTCGTAATAGGTTTTGTATATGTATCACTATGTAGCAGCACAGTCCAGTCTCATAACAGTCAAGGTATCAAACGCACATGCGCATGTTCAAAGGCTGGTTTCAGTAGGCAAAATTGTGACCGTCTAAGGAGTGTACCATCGAACAGCATCGCTATTTCTGCGTTACTTCTGAACAAAAGGACTCAGTGCGAAGGATATTCATAAAGAAATGTTTCCTGTTTACGGTGGGAACCGTTTGTCGCATAAAGGTTTTCACATCTGGGTCGAGAAACGTGGCAAACTTTTCGTTCCTCACGAAGAGTTTGAAACGGAGTTGCGGAAGTGACTGAGAAAAGAGTTAAAGGACTTATAGTCTGCGGGTTTCGACGCACTGGTAAAGAGACGGCACAAGTGTATCAGTAATGGTGGAGGATATATCCATAAATAAACGCTTCTCTCCCAGTTGCGAATTCCATATATTTTACTTTCCATATCCATTTGTGTCTTATTTACTGACTCTTCCTCATACTTCAAACCTTCGCCACAAATCATATTTGAGTTAAATATTAACGAAATGAATCAGCGGAAACTTACACGGTTATCCAGTCCTCGGTAGCGAGCGATTTTCCCTCATTAGTTTGGCAGTACTCCTCAGCTACTGATGTCACTAGAGGGAGATTCATATCTTGTAGGTATGAATTGAAGATCCCTTCAAAATCCTTCGCGCTGCATGTTGATGGAATACAGTAGGACAGCGTGAGGCCCAAGTCAGATAAATCAAACGAGACCTGTAAGTTGAGAATTTCTAACTCAGTGGGGCCGAGTCCTTCTTGAGAAGCCAACAGTCGCTCAGCTACTCAAGAATTTCACAACTTTTTTGCATGAATATTCATTACCCGTTCACAAAAGCCTCCCACTGGTCTCCATCCTAAGCCAGATGAATCCAGTTCATACCACCATATCCTATTTAATACCCATTTTAATATTATCCTCTCGTCTTACTTCATTGCTTTGCAACCAAAAATATATACATCTTTTCCTCTATCATGTGTTCGACATGTTTTCCCACCTCATTCACCTTGACTTGACAAGTTACGAAGCTTCTTCTTATGCATTTTACTCCAATCTCCTGTCACTTCATCCCTTTTCGGTCCAAATATTTTCGTCAGCACTCTACTCTCAGACACCCTCAATCTACATTCCCTCTTTAATGACCAAGGCGAATTTTCACACTCATACAGAACTATGGGCATAATTACAGTTTTGTATATTTTAATTTTTACTTTTTTTCATAGAAGACGAGATGGCAGAAGTTTCTGGTCTAAATGGTAGCAGGCGTGTCCCGAAATCAATGTGCTCCTAATTGTTTCGCCTTAATCAAATTTTAATTTTTTATTGTCGTTCCCAGATAATTTAACTTTGTCGCATTCTCATAGGATCTATGAATTATCCTTAAGTTAGTATCGTGCCCCTCGTTGTGGTGACAAGACATCAACATAAATATTACTTATTATTACATTTATGTATCCCGTTGCATCGATTGATCAGTTAATATTTATAAGTTGTCAGTAAAACTCTCCAAAACTCAAGAAAGTTGCATTGGCATATCTGAGAATAAACATTAAGAATAACGCCTTAGTACGTAATCGAATTCAGAATCGTTGTTCGATATTTATATAGATCTAGTTTCTTAAATCTTGCTAATGTATATTAACGAGATTTAATGAAGATCCTGAACCACAATGAAGTAAAAAGGTATTTATTAATGCTTTATTTAATGATACTCTCGGTAGCTAAGATAAAATACAGTTTAAAATGACAGAAAGATTATAAATAATAATATGCTAGATAAGATGTGGGACTTATTTACGAGTATTTCCAGACAGCATATCGGAATATCTGGAAGATAACGAGGAAAATCTCAGTCAGATATTCTGTTTGCGAGTCGAAACCGTTCGTTTTTTATATAAAACCGCTATGCTTTATCTTATTCACTTATAGGTAATAAGTGAATCCGTCAAGAGTATTTATAAATTTGTCTTCTGATGTTAGTTCTATAGAACCAAAGTAATATACATTATTTGAGACAGACAACTTAACATTTTATTGGTTTGTAGTAATATCTGTAATAATATCTTGAAATAGATAACAATACCTTTCTACAGAATGTCTCTTTTTCGTAATTAGTGAAATAATTATTGAAAATGTGCATTGTGTTAAGATAAAAATGTATTATATATATATACATATATATATATGCTGGTAGAATAGCATTTAATTCAAACATAATTAGATTAATCACCATCGAAATATAGCGCAGTGTGTTACGATGCACAAACGAAGAATGTGGTTGGAGGAATTGTAGTTATGCAATACAAACAAAATAATTCTCCTAATAATCAGGGAAGATAATAATTCGCAGTGTGTTAATATGTGAAGGTAAGAACTGTTCATGCTTTTCTTTCTGGTGAATATGGCAAACATAGGCTGCTACAACAGGCAAACGACTGCTTTGGTAACGTATAAAAAAGATCTTGTTTAATGTTTAAATTATTCTGAAAGGTTTTTGTTTTTCTTTAATCCGCTTACTGGTGGGTGGAGTCCAACTGGGTCCACTCAGCACGGCGGCCATTGATTGGCCTATTGTAGCCTGCCCTGGGTGATTATGATGATGGAGGATTTGGTGGAATGAATATTGGCAGGAGCCCGTCACGGTAGCCGAGCAGTCTAAGGCGTGCACTGTCTTCGCTCGCTCGGAAGCCGGGATCGTGGGTTCGAATCCCACTCAGGGCATGGACGTTTGTGTGCGTTTTTCTGTGTTTGTGTACAGGTAGAGGCCTTGCGACGAACTGATCACCCGCCCAAGGAGTCCTACCGTATGTCTAAGATCTAGAAAAACCGAAGTGAACGGAGAAGTTCATAGAGGTAGGCCTAGGCCCACTGGGGCTGTAGTGCCAAAGAAAAAAAAGATTGGCAAGTTAAACCGAAGTACTCGGAGAAAACCCTCTCCAGCGCCACTTTCTCCACCACAAATCCCACTTGACCAGACGCGGGATGGAACCCGGGCCGCCACGCTGGGAAACCAGCGACTAACTGCTTGAGCTATGACGCGGCCATCCTGAAAGGTCACTCACAGTTCTATCGTTGTCTCTCACATTAGGAGCTCTTATTCTGAGGCTTTCAACATGTGGCAAATTTTGCGGGCTGAGTGCCTGGACTGAGTCTGGCTTCTGCCGAAATTCGGTGAGACAATGCTGGCCACTGAACACCCCGACGCCAGTGTCCACGTGCTCCACTTCGATGCACTCGTCGAAATTCCCGAGGAACACCGACTGCCCCATCAGCACACTCTCCGGAAACTTCGTTGTGGAGTCAAACACTGCAAGCAGAACAAGAATTCACAATACACACCTTACTTCACGGGAGTCGGCATAGTGACTGGAGACTGGATATGGACTGGACGGCCATGGCGTCGGAGTTTGAATCCCGATATGAGCAAGATATGTCTTCTCTACACGTCGTAGAGACTGGTACTGGAGCCCACATGGCATTTTATCCGATGGATAACATTGGACTATTTCTCAGGTGATAAAGCGGCCGGGGCGTGAAGCTGACCACTCACCTCCAAATAATGCAGAGATCAAGAATGCGTGGATTTATGTACCCACTCCCCGATAGGTCTTCATGCCGTACTACTTAATTAACAAAGTAGAGGAAATATTTTGACCGAAGAGAGATGAAGTGACGGGACATTGTAGAAAACTCCATATTGTGGAGTACTCGTACTCTTCGGCAAGTATAATTAGAACGATAAAGTTAAGGAGGATGAGATCGGCAAAGCATGTAGCACGAATGGGAGCGAATAGGAATGCATATAAGATGTTAGTGAGAAGACCAGAAGGAAATATATCACAAGGAAGACCTAGACCTAGGTGGATGGATAATATTAAAATTATTTTCAAAAAGATAGATTGGCGTGGTATAGACTCGATTGTTCTGGTCCAGGATAGGGACTAGTGGAGGGTTCTTTTGAACACCGAAATGAACCTTCGAGTACCATAAAATGTTGGGAGGTTCTTAATGAGCTGCACAACTGGCAGCTTCTCAAGGATGGCTCAGCTCCCTGGAGTTATTTCGTCTTTTGCGATTTGACGCATGTAATTTGGTAGACAAGTACAGAAGTATTTCAGGAAGCTGGTGCCTCCTGCTTCAACGTTAAACGGTGAAGATGGACGTAGCATGTGCCTTCGAAAAGTAACATAACTATCTACCAGAATACACTGCATCACATCTGAGATAACTGCAGCCGCAATACGTCTGCTTGATTCTAGGAGAACATAAAATTTCATATTCTGCTACGAGTCTGGATTTCGTTTGGGATTTTATGCCACATTTAGGAATTTACAAAACACGTGTTTCTTTTCTTATCAGACTTCACGGCATATATATCTGCCAGTATATTCAGATACTAACAATAAATATACTTACTCAGCATCGCCCAGTAGCTGGTAGTGATCTGGTCCATGTAGACCTGAAAATGTTGTGCACAGATGGTATTGTTGGTAGTCGCAAACACAGAAGATCTGGTTTCTTGAAAGTTCTTAATATTTAAATAAGGTAAGACATCTTTCCATTGATGGTCATGTACTAACTCTGCACTGTTGTAAGTTCCCAAAACAGATATAAAGCTCAATACATAAGGTAATAACATTCGCAGCATTGTTGTAGCCCAGGTTGTCTCTGTGAGAGTAGAAAACACATCTGAACAAACTTAACGCTTTTAGATGGAATTTTATGTTATTTATAGTAAGAACTTATCGGAATATTCATCAGCGTCGAGCTAAACGCTCGTCACATTTCCTATTAAGGCATGGAAGATAAAAAGGTAGGTAATATGTAAGAATGTTCGCGTGTTAAGCTCAGTCCAGTTTATACACACAAAGTTATCTTACCAGTTTCTATGGCTATATCAGAAAACTATCTGCCTTATGTATTCGCTTATTCATTCACTCATCATGGGCTCTATAGCCCTTTGTTGGACCCTGACCTCTTCTTCATTTTCGTAATCTTTCTTACACAGACGGTAGGACTCTATGGACGAGTGATCAGCCCATCGCAAGGCCGCTACCTACACACAGGACAACACAGAATAAACACACGTATAGACATTCATGCCTCGAGTGGGATTCGAAACCATGATTCCAACGTTCGTGCGAGTGACAGCAATTTCTATTTTAGACCGCGCAGTCACTGTGATCGGCCTCTGCCTGATGTATAGCTCATATAATCCCTAAGTAAACTGGATAAGATGCTTTCAAAATAATTGTATTTTTGCTGTATTAAAAAGTAAGCTTTTAAGTGTCACCATGAAATGGCACGTGGCCACGTTTCAGATGACCCCCAGACATGGAAGACATCTGTGGATGTACTGAATAAGTATTAGAGCGCAGCTGACAAGGATTGATGCTCTAATTTTGGGTTGGTCATGGGATTAGCAACCATTTGCCATAAAGGAAAAATTCTTGTTACGAAATGTTGCACAAGACCTCAGACTTGGGACGTTTCTTTGGATAGTTTGAAATTACCTAAGCAAAAGAAAATAAATATGAGATTTGTCATACTCCCAAATACATGACAATATGAAGAACAGTTTCTAATAGGAACTAGAATATATATTTGATAAATTCCCTAAATACAATATTAAAATTCTGTTAGGAGATTTCAATGCCAAAATGGTAAAGAAGACATTTTCAACTCAACAATTTGAAATTGGAGTTTTCACGAAATTAATAGCGATGATGGACTTAGAGTAGCAAATTTTGATGCATTCAAATTTCTAATTTTCAAAAAGAAAAGATTCCAACTTTGCAGCATTCATAAATTCACTTTGAAGTGAATATCCTAATGGAAAGGCACACAATCAGATAGAGCATTTTGGATATACAGGAGATGGCATTCAAGTGTATCTTATATTCGATCTATCAAGAATGCGGGCCATAATCTATCACTATCACAGTCTGGTAATTGCCAATGGTAGGGACAGGCTGGCGGTAAAAATGTCCAGAAAAGCAAAAATTTTATATGGAGTGAAACCAAACAAAGCAGATTGTGTTTTGTGTTAAAACCACGAATAGATTTGCAGCTTTGGAAAACTCAGATGATGGTGTGGATGTTAATAGAGCTTGGGAAGCTACTAGAGGGAGTATCAAAATTTTCAGCGAAAGAGGTTCTAGTTTATCAAGAACTTGAGTAGCATTAGCCATTGTTCATTGAGTTGTGTTCAGTAATGTTATACCAAAGGAAACAGGACAAATTGCATCGGAGCCAAATGAAATGGGGATAATCTGAACATTATAAAGCACAAAGCCAGCAGGCATCTGGAAAGAAGAGGAAATGTCTGAAAGATAAAAATGAGCTTGCAACAAACAGTAAGAGCAAGAACATTAGAGGCCTGTATAGAAGAATAATCAAATTTAAGAGGGGTTGCCAACCTGGAAGTAACTGCTTGAAGATTCCCACAACTTTTTGAATACGTAGAAGAATTTTTTCTTCCACTTACTAAATATATATAGGATCAGTGATATTAGGCAGTTGGAAGTACATACTGCTGAGCCATTAGTACCTGATCCTAGTCCTTTTGAGGTTGAAATAGTTACTGTGAAGTTGAAAAGGGTAAATTGCCAGATATTGTACAAATTCTGGCAGAACTAATTCAAGCATGGTGTGAAATATTGCATTCTGGGATCATAAGCTCAGTACATTTATTTGAAAAAAAAAGGAAGAAATTCCTGAGTAGATGAATGAGTCTTTTATTAGCAAGTTTACAAGAAGGAGAATGAAACTGACTGGAGAATGAATAATTATCGAGGCTTGTTATTAACTTCAACAAAATTTTATCCAATATATATCTCTCAAGGTTAAGTCCATATATAGATGAAATTGTTGGGGATCATCAGTGTGGGTTTTGATGTAACAGCTCAACTTCTGATGACACATTACATTCTGAGATCATATACTCAGTACTTTTTTGTAATAAGAAAGAATTTCCTGAGTAGCTGAATGAATCTTTTATTGGCTAGTTTACAAGAACGATAAAACTGACTGAAGAATGAGTAATTACTGATGCTTATCACTGTTATCAACGTCATACAAAATGTTATCCAATATGCTTGTCTCAAATTTAAGTCCATATATAGGTGATATTTTTGAGGATCATCAGTGTGGGTTTTGATGTAACAGATTAACTACTGATCACATCTCTTGCATTTGTCAGACACTGGAAAGAAAATGGGAGTACAATGAGACAGATCATCAGCTATTCATAGACTTTAAGACACCTTATGATTCACTTATGATGGAAGTGTTGTATACAATATTCTTATTGAGTCTGGAGTAACCTTGAAACTAGTTGTAGGTAAGCAGATTGAAATATGTTTAAATGAAAACTTTTGTATAATAAAATCCATATGAGTTAATATTTTGTTGGTACATTTCCTATTCAAAATGGCCTGAAACATGGAGATGTTTATCACTATTGTTTTCAATTTTTCTTCAGGATATGCCATTATGAAAGGCCAAAGAAACAAGGTAAAACTGAAACTAAGTGGGATATATGAGCTCCGATCTATCCTGATGGTGTAAATCTATTGAGACATAACATAAATGCCATCAAGAAACAACAAAGAAACTCAGGTTAATGCTAGTATTGAGGTATATGAGATTGAATTTGGTTAATGCTTGCAACCATTCAGTTCAGAATCTTTTGTCTTCTCTCCGGTATGTAAAAAAATTAAAATGTAAATATGAAATCTTGTGTTTTTGCCCATAGATTTTATGGGCGTGAAACATGTTCAGTGATATTAAGTGAAGAACATAGCTTGAGGGTGTCTGTGAACAGGCTGTTGAGAATATTTTGACCCAAGAAAGATAAAATAATAAGAAGTTAGAACAGCATAATGAGGAGCCTTATAACTTGTACTGTTTGCCAGACGTAATTAGAATGATAAAGCAAAGGAAAATGAGACACAAAGAACATATAAAGCACTTGAAAGCGAACAGAAATGCATACAGGATTTGTGGTAAAGACATAAGAAAGGCACCACTAAGAAGACCTACATGTAAATGGAAACATAATATTAAACTGGGTCTTACAAAAATATGATCGGATGATATGGACTACATTTGTGTGGGTAGGGGTCTTGTGAGCACTGTATGAACATTCAGAATAAAAAAAAATATTGGGAATTTATTAAGTAGTTGAGTGACTGCCGACATCTCAAGAAGGATTCGACTCAATAATTAGTTTATTATTAAAATGGTTTTTATACTTGAATACCACATTTATTTAAAATTTCCTTCTACATGTCTTCTTCAAATAATCTTTATTTTCATTCAAATATTTCGTCTGAAGTGTTTGAAGTTCCCGCTCATTGAAGTTTAACAGATTTCCGCTTGAGGGAACCACAAGCAAACTGGTTTAAAGTGACATCTGTTAAACAAAAATATAAGGTTGTTGGTTACAGAACAGGACGGTATTGTACTGTATGTCTGAATGCTAAACGTAATTAGTATCTCGCAACGATAAACGTCACTGGGCTCAGTGGCTTAAAGTAAGCCAGGTAATCGTTGGTCTGCGATAGCGGTAAGTGTTTGCGATCGCTATCAGATTTGTTAAGTGTTAGTTTGCATGGTAACGTAGCAACAGAACGACAGTTCCACAGTGGGCACACTCTGTCATTTCCAGCGGTTAGGTAGGTACATCGTTTGTAAACAGACACCGTTCTGCACGATAATTAATGCCATCTTCAAAGTATTTATTATATTAAAATAGTACATAATGCTGAATTTTACGACACACTTGAACCATGTTAATTCAGCGAAAGTTACTATCTTCTGGAACATGACTCCGTGTAGACAGGTAGAACATTAGTATCATTTCGGAGGAACCCTCAGACTCCATCTTCAGGGGAACCATGAGTTCATCCCAGAATACAATGATCTACATAGCCACCATGAGAAATTCAAATTTCAACTAAATCAGGATTTATTGTTACCTTGCTGAAGACACCTTGTAAGTATATTCATTTGAATCGTTTTTCTTCCACATGGACGCGTGTAGAAACAAACAACTGGGAATGAGAGTTTACAGGAAATAAGTAATGATAATGGAGTTAGAGTAGTAAACTTTTCCACGTCCAAAAATCTTTATTGTCAAAAGTACTATGTTCCCACATCGTAACGTTCTTAAATTTACTTGGACATCTCCTGATGGAAAGACACACAACCAAATCGACCATATTTTGGTAGATAGGAGACGGCGTTCATGTATACTTGATGTCTGATCATTCAGGGCAGCAGATTGTGATACTGACCACTATTTGGTGGTGGCAAAAGTTAGGGAGAGACTGGCAGTGAGTAAACAAACAGTGCATAGAGTTCATATGGAAAGGTTTAATCTCGAGAGATTAAACAAGGTAGAGGGTAAAGAGTAGTATCGTGTTCAAATCAAAAATAAGCTCACAGATTTGGAAGCTTGGACCCTGAGGTGGATATTAATAGAACTTGGGAAAGAATTCGAGAGAATATCAAAATGTCAGCCAAAGAGAGCGTAGGATATTATGAGTTAAAGAAGCATAAGCCATGGTTCAATGAAGGTGCTCAGAATTACTATACGAAAGGAAAGAAGTCAAATTGAAGTGGCTGCAAGATCCAGGAGAAATATATAGGGATAATCTGAACAATATAAAACGTGAAACCAGCAGGCATTTTAGGAATAAAAAGAGAGAATATATGAAAGACAAAATTGATGAGCTTACAGTGAACAGTAAGAACAATGACATTAGAGACCTGCAGAGGAATAAATGACTTTAAGAGGGGTTACCAGCCTAGCAGTAACTTAGCGAAGGTTGAGAATGGAGATCGGCTTGCAGATTTCCACAACATTTTGAATAGGTGGAGGAACTCCTACTCTCAGTTGTTGAATGTACATGGGTCAGTGGCGTTAATCATATAGAAATGCATACAGTTCAGCCGTTAGTACCTGATCCTAGCCCTTTTGAGGTTGAAAGTGCTATTGCAAAATGGAAACGGTATAAATCGCCAGGTAGTGATCAAATTCTCGCAGAACTGATTCAAGGTGAAATGTTATGTTCTAAGATATGTATCTAATTAATTCTATTTGGAATAAGGAAAAATTGCCTGATGAGTGGAAGGAGTCTATTATTGTACAAGTTCACAAGAAGGGTGATGAAACTGACTGTAGTAATTATCGGGGAACATCCATTGCTATTAACTTCATAGAAAATTTTATCCAGTATTCTTCCTTGCTGAAGAAACTTTGGAATTATCTGCATCTGAATTCCTTTTCCACATGAACACTTGTAGTGGTATGTGCTTATGATACTCAGCTCTTTGGTTTCAATATGCATGACACACTGGTAACCATTCTTTGGTTGGGTGGTGGAAAGTAAGGTTTCCTTTTATGAACATTTAATTAATTATGCTCTTAGTTAAATGGTGGATGTCAGTGAATAATGAATCATGAAGGACACCCAATAATCCAGCAGGAAGTATGTAAATGTCTTGTCGTAGTAATAGGTCAGAAAAATACAGTACCGGGAATACCAGAGGCCACTTTTGGCCATAATCAATGTAGTTCAGTCCAGTTCACCCTTCCTGTATCAGTTTCCATAAGATCCTATTCAGTAGTATCCTCACAACTCCTCTGTTTTCAAAGTGGCTGCTTTTCAGGAGTTTTCTCACAAAAATTCTCTAAATTCATTTGGTCTCCCCCCTCCCTCAGTTTGTTTCTTGACTTACAGAGGAACCATAAGCGTCTTAAGGAGGACTTAACTGTGGCGTCAGTGACTGTTCTGTACTGTCCTATTGAAAGAACTTTCCTTTAATGTGATACATCTGTTAATAGTGTAGTAAAAGTGTGGCATTGTCCCTGTACTTAATTAATTAAGCACCATACAGTCAGGATGTATGGGGGAGTGGAGGTATAGCTTCACCATTCTTGAATTCGGCACTAGACAGAGGTGTGTGGTCAGCTTCACGTCCCAGCCGCTTTACTCCCAGGAAAGAGCCTGCAGTACCCATTGGATAGAAGGCTGGATGGACTCCAGAGTAAGGCTGGGTGCTGTGGAGAAGAGAAAACCCATGCCCTGCTGGGAATCGAACCCGGCCCCGTCTCTATACCACCCGAGCTATCCCGATTCCAGTGTCCGGGTTCACGTAGCGGATGTGATCTCGAATCGTGTTCGGTTCGAATCTCGGTCGGGACACCGACTGTCCTGACCGAGGGGTTTCGTGGCTTTGTCAGTCCTTCCAGGAAAATCTAAGGATACTCCCTGAATTAGTCTGTAACGGGGTCCTTCTAAATCCTTTCAATCCATCGGTCATTGGAATCTATGTAGTCTAGCTAGTATTGCTCTGGTCCTTAAATAGCGCAAACACATCTTAATGACAAGTCCTAAGAATATCCTGATGATACACATAAATACACGTGCGCAGTATACAGAGTGTCTCGAAACAGGATAACCATATCTTAACTAGGTGATCTTGGAATCATTTCGAGTCGAAATTTTTAAATAAATATGGGTTCTACGTGTAATGATTTGTCAAGAACTTGATGAAACTTTTTTTGCATTATTACTGTTTACATTATTTCCATTTATTTCTCACTTTATTATTGTTATTATTATCATCATCTTAATTATCATGTTCTTGTTACATCTCATCTTCGATTGTTGTTTGTTTACCTTTCTGATTTAATGTGATTTTTTCTCCAGTGCTTGCCTGTAATTAGTCTTTGACTTTGTGTTGTGTTAGTCCAGTATGTAACTACTTCTATCTGCACTGTGCTGTGTCTTTAATTGGCCTTGTAGCTGTTGACTCGACACATAAATAATAAAGAATTCAATTCAATTCAATTACTGGTAAACAGGATTTGGAAGGGCGTGATATTGAACTGCATACGGACATAGCCCTAATTATTTTCCATGAAAATATTTATGGATATTTATTCTCTTAGTCACTATAGTTTTTATTACAGTCAAGATTCGAACTGGGCATCTCCTATACAACACAATACTCATTCTCATTTTCGTGACAAACTTTTATAGATCGCACCCATGTTTATTTCTACTTTCCAGCTCGAAATGATCCCAAAAGCTCACAGTTAAGCCATGGACATTCTGTATGCTGAGTATAGAGAGGAAAATTAATGTTGAGTTCCAGGCAGCGGTGCACCTTCTTCTCTTCAGCACCACAGCGTTCAGACCGACTCTGAGTCACTCTCAACTTCTGTCTGATGTTTACCGGAGATTCTTTCGCCAGGGAATAGCCTCCAGGGCTTGTAAATAACTGCTGATCTCCAGCTAGTGTCGTAGTTATATGAGGCTGGATTTTAGTCCGTAAGCGAAACATACCGACCGAGCGACCGCCGTTTGTCGGCGAAGTTAGTGCCAACTTTAGCGGATAGAGGGTGTCGCGTGATCAGCGCAACGAATCCCCACGGCCCTTAATTTCGGTTTTCTAAACCAGAGCCGCTATTTTCTTGAAATATCTCCTCAATTATCATCACGTGGCTGAGTGGACCCCGTTCCAACCCACTACTTCTCAGAAAAAATCGAACCCGGACCTCTGGATCTGTAGCCAGGAACACTGACCACTAGAGCACAGAGGCGGACAACACCTCTCAAGAGGTCCCAATTTGTAATTGATACACACATATATAAATATAATATATGACACATTATTGTAAATGCACAATTTCATAGATCATTGGTTAAGCAGCACTTAATGTATGTTTCATATATATTTCGCAACAAGTTCACAACGTATGCAATACGGTCCTCAAATACAATATTAGGCAATAGTTGGCTTATAATCGGTACACTCGAGGGCATCTCGTGCTCAGAGTAAGAGAGCTGGTATGTTCACGCAATGCGCATTGCAAATTTGTCGTAGTTTGTTGAGAGACTATGTTTGTTCTTGTTCCCATTATACATGAGCAAGCTCTTTCAAGAATCTTGCTTTGTCTTAGTTGTTTATTATAACTTATCATTATGAATAAGGTAATTTTAATAAAAAAATCTACGTCTTTCGTAAAACAAAATGATAATCTATGAAAATATATTGTAAAGGAAAACGTCCTACTTTCATTACACAGAATTCGATAACCCAGCAAGCGGCGCACTTCCTTCTTCCACATATAAAGCATCATTTGAAATGACCTTGAACTTGAGATCACATCCTTATACACTAACCCACATTATCTGCTTAGGATAATAAGTTCACTCCAGTCTCTTAGCGGTTATTAAGCAAACAATTCCCTTCTTCACTGCATCTGTCTAGACATTGGGATGCAATTATAATTAAGTAACATTAGTGTCATGACTTAAAATGTAATTTTTTAAAAGTGAGTTAAACAAGCGGCGGTTGAACCATTTCTGTAGGAAGTGAAGAAAATTCAGAAGGGAAAAATATAAAACGTAGAAGTTGCTAAAATAATTCAATTATTGAATTTTCATTCACCAACGTAAGAATCTGAAAATTTCTCATGTCTTCTAAGATCTGAGGTTCTCACAGCGGGGACTGTGAAGATTGCAATCTTCCGGGATCTGACGCCGTGTAGCC